CCCCGCCTTTTATCATGATATTAAAGTTTGTACACTTGCTGATAAATTGTTGAAAAACTTTTGCTTCAAATGTAAATTGCGTTCAATCGCACGGGTTTCTTTAATTAATATATCAACTTGTAATTTTTTTTAAACATTTTTTTTACTTGTAAGTTTTGCATATTATTGCCAGGTTTCAATGCAAGTAAAAGACAAACAAAATACAACGAAATAAAAACAATAAGCAAAAAACAAAGAAGCAAGTTACAAACACGTAAACAAGCACTTGAACAAACACGTAAACAAACACATACACAACATACAAACAATTAAACAAATGTGCAACTACACAAACATGCAAACAACATACACACAAACATTTCAACCGCATTCACTCAAACATACAAACAAACATAAAAACAAACGAACACACAAACATGCAAACAACGTACAGGAGCCTGCGTACATATGTCGATCGCTTTTACGACCAGAAATAAAAGCGTCAGAGCGACAATGTTGGGGATGGGCGGTACATCATTTTAAAATCGCCCAACCCTACTTTAGTCACGTGAGTGATAAAAGATGGCTGCCTTTCGTTACGTTACGTCACGTTATTGCTCTAATGTTACGGGGCGTACGGACCATTTTATTGTTTTATCATTGCTATCTTTTCTTTGCAGTGTTTTTTAAAAATCTTTTTATTATTGAAAACGATGTTAGTGTTATTGTTATGGCTCGTTGTTTAAGAGTTGTTGCTGCTGCGAGGATTTCTTGTTTACATCATCATTCTATTAAACAAAGTTTAAATTTCTAATTCACAGTTCGAGGCTGTCCAGACCTCACTTACACCTACTCATCCTCCTCTTCCATCTCTCCATCTTCATCATCATCATCATCAACATCACTATCGAGACTGCACGGTGCAGTGTATCACGATGTTTGGAGAGATGGTGATGTGGTGAGGGTGGGGTGTGAGGAAGGGCGGTGGTTGTGGACGCTCAGGTGCTCACATGAAACCAACACGTGGATTGGTCAGCTGGGAAACTGCACTACTGTCGTTGCAGGTGATGATGATGTTGGTGGTGGTGAGGGTGGGGGTGACTGTGATTACAATGATGATCATGATGGTGTTGGGAGTGATGATGCTGGTGATGATAACGTAGTTGGTGGTGGTAATGATGATGATACTGATGATGATATAATGATAGTGAGTGAGCGGCTGAGAGTGATGGGGCTGATTGCGTTGGAAGTGATGATGATGATGATGAAGCTACGTGGATCTGAAATGTTTCAATAAAATAAATGTTAGAATATTTTAGAGGCTAAATTTAAAAAATGTACAGGGGTAATAATAATAACAAAAACAACAACAACAACTTCAACAACAACAGCATCAGCAAAACTGACTACAACAACATCATCAACATTAACAACATCTCATCAACATCAACAACAATATCAACAACACTTATTGCATCACATCAACAACAACATTAACAACAACATCAGCAGAACTAACTACAACAACATCAACAACAACATCAACAACAACTCATCAACAGCAACATCAACAGCATGTAGGCCCTTATATTTAGAAATAAAAAACAAACTTTGCCAACATAACGACAACAAATCACCAAGCTTAAGAGGAGCGCATTTATCAGCTTTTAATCGATACTTTGTTGTTGTTGCTGATATTGAGGTTGTTGTTGTTAATGTTGCAGTTGTTTAAGTTGTTGTTGATGTTGCAGTTGTTGTTGTTGTTGATGCTGTACATAAAAGTAATAATGATATTGGTCGTTAACGTGTTGTTAACGTTATTCAAACTATTGATGTCATACAGTAGATGTTGATGTTATATAATTGATGATATCATATATGAAGTATGCAACAAGTAATACAACATTAATGATTGCAAAAATAATAAAAGGATGACGACGAAGATGACGATGATGATGATGATAACATGATAATGATGATAGGATGATGTTAAAAAGAAGTTGGCTTTATGATTGCTAATGATGTTCTAATGAACTTCGCATTTACTTTCAACATCTCCAAAACTAACGAAAGAAAATAAAAACTTTCATGGAAAGCCATGCCACGATTAAGCGGCGTATTAATCTGAGCTACTAAACTGACATCCGGGTTACTTAGAGCCGGTCTCATCACTACCATCATCATCATCGTTATCATCATCGTTAATTGTGTTGTGTTATGTTAGTTTGGAGTGTTGCTATGCACATGTATGCATTTTAAAAGTTTGTGACGATTTGAAAAATATTTTGTTTCATACATTTAGTTTTTCAAATGCATTATTAATTGAATAAGTCTTTTCGTGCTCATGAGTCTTTTGAAGTAAAGTTTCAGAGTCAAAAAACTTATTCATATTTTTACGCATTCTTAAGAAACAAACTTGTGAGCATTAAAATATTTTACTAAAAACGAAATAAATTTTGTTAACCGACTTTAAAATTTTGCTTTTCCTAAACTTTTTATGATCAATTGTAATTTTAATTATTAAAAAAATTTATAAGTCTGACAACTTAGATCCATTTGAAATGTTTTCCTGACCTTGTTAACAACCCAACTCTTTCCACCGATCGTTTTTATCAAAAACCAACTTTCATCAGTAAGCAAGCCATTGTTTCACAAGCCGTTCAGTTCACCAATATGCAGCAACTGGAGCATCGATATATGACAGTAATTTTGCCCTGTAAATTCTGCAATAAAGTTTGGACGCTGGCAGGGCGGTCGCTTTATTTTCAATGTCATGCACACCAAAGGGAAGTTTTAGTGACAGACACTCACTGTGAAGATGACTGCTTTCATGTGGCATCAGATTGCAAAAATAATTTTGTGAAGCCAATACTGATATCAGCAACATTGTGCAAACGAAGTTTTCTCATGACTACCAAGTTCCACTACATCAAACTTTGCAAGTTGCTGTAGACGTTGAATTTTGTTATCAGGGATTAAAACGTTCGTGACATTGATGTTCACCACACCGTTGCCTGGCATTACCAAGAAACTTCTCTAAAAGATCTTGACCAAATACTGAAGGTAGCCTTTACTAGAACCTATGATCAGAGAGAAGTACCTTTTGAATTTGGTCGCCGCTACAAATGGGTCAGCTGTAACGTTTGTGTAAAAACAGCCCATTACGATAGCTTGCAATGACGTCACACATACCTACCTAAGAGCTTCTAAAAGCGGTCACACCGAAGCTGTCATGGTGTTTTGGCGACGTCACGAAGTTTTGCAGTGTTGTACCGGTCTTTAATATTCATCATCTTAAACCAGGTGCAGTTTTTTTCAAGGTAAGTAATGCTGCTATTGTTTTTCATGAAAATATTGGCACACCAAAGGTACACTTAGACGTTGCAGGATTTTGGAATGTATTGATGTTAGTTTTGGGAGACATACAGCTGTCATACATACAGCGTCGTACAGAGTTGTTACATCACAGCAGCATGCAACGAAACTGACCATCTTCAGTAAAATCTAGATCTTGTTTTCGTTCATTGTTTCAGCTATTCCGAATGTTTTTTAATACATGCACATTGTCATATACAAAAAAAATACCTTAATGACATGGCCCGGAAAATTCACCGGTCCTGGGCCACCAAAGCTCTTTTACAGTGATTGATTCATTAGACAATTGTCGCACACTATAGATATAATGCACTGTGGATAAAACAGTACAAAATAAAGCAGAGCAGGACAAGACAGGATTAAACAGAACAGTGATGAAACAGAGCAGATACAGAATAGAACAAGGATGAAACAAAACATTTCTTTTAGAATTTATTTGTTTTTCAGCACTTTTATTTATTTATTTGTAATAAAAAACTGTTTTATCCTGCTCTCTCTTTATCTTGTATTTTTTATCACAGAACTGATAGATTGTGACATTAAAGTTTAAATTTCAGTTGTCTTAAAACCACCTTTATTTAAGGTGTCTATGATCTGTGAATATACTTACTTTTTTGCCAACACCGGTTTTATTAAACAAAGTCTGAATCTATTTGATGTTACTGTCTAGAGCAGAGTTGAATTCGGATCGACAAAGGTTTGGTAAAATTGGAATGATGATGAAGTGATTATGTGGGAACTATAAAATGACGACGAGGATAATGACGATGAAGATGATGATGTGATGGAATAAGGATGATAGAAACGCACTTTTTTTCTGAATTTCTCGGCTAATATGTTTACATGTATAGTGGGAGTACTTATGTAGATTTATATTTGTGCTATATTGTTTTAACACTTCGACGCTCGTTTCCGCCAACACCAATGTTATGGCTTCAAAGATTTTTATTTCCATCACCAGTGTTGTAGCTTCCAACGATCATCAAGTTATCGTTATTTCGTAGGCTAAAAATTACCGATAGATGAACAGAACTGCTTCAAACGCAAACTTTGTTGAACGTTTATTTGAATGCCAACAGTAATAGAAACACTAAACTAATCCAAGTAACTATATCTATATAAATCACAGTTAATTACAACTTCGCATCAAACCTCGCTTCAAATCTCTCTATTGACTATGCTACGTAACCTCCTTATAAACAAGAGATTTTTAAAATCCAAAAATTACAATTATAGCAAAGATAACAAAGAAAACGAATAATCAAATAATATAGCGCAATTTGACTATTGTATATGTGTGGGTTTTGTGTGAGTGTGGGTTTTTGTGTGAGAGTGTGTGGGTGGGTTTAAGGAGTATCTGTGCTTGTTTTTGTACGTGCCCGTGCGTTTTTGATGTAGGATGCTGCTGTTTTTTGCATCTGTTTGAAATGTCTCTCTTCAAATTCAAATTAATGATCAAGTTTGTACTGCACTGTTTGTCCCTCGTGAGGAACATTGAACAACGAGCCACTAATAACGACGGTGACTAGGATGTTGTTGTTGTTGTGTGGAGGGAGTTGTCACGAGATAACCTCGGGTTACTTATTTTCCAGTAATTATTTTTCGAGGTTTTATTAATTTATTTAAATTATATAGCAATTTTTTTAACGTTTATTAATTAAATTTTTTAAATGTTTCAACATACTTCTTAAACAACAACTCCACAACGGATTAAGCCGATGGGAAGAAACAAACAGCCTTTCCCCCGCCATTATCCTATTAAGAATTTTCTATCCACTTAACCACCCATCCACTCAACTATCTATCCATCTATCTATTCAACTAATGATCTCAATATCAGACCAGCTATCGGTCCAAACAACCTACAAGATACACCCCCAACAACAACAACAACATCACAAACAACAACAACACCCTCAACAACAACTAAACGAACAACACCAACAACAACCTAATTAATTTATTTCCCGCCATCGTGACGTCACATTCGCCTGCTGCATGCAAACAATTCAATCGAAAGAGGTCACAGTGAGGTTATTAGGTCAGAGTGTTGTAGCTACTTAGATAGTAACGATGGAAATGCTGGTGACGATGATAACGATGCTCCAACTTGTTCTGCTGTCGTCGTCGTTGCTGTTGTTGTTGATGTTGTTGTTGTAGTTGCTGTTGTTGTTGCTGTTGTTGTTGCTGTTGTTGTTGCTGTTGTTGTTGTAGTTGCTGTTGTTGTTGCTGTTGTTGTTGTTGTTGCTGTTGTTGTTGCTGTTGTTGTTGTTGTTGTTGTTGCTGTTGTTGTTGTTGTTGTTGTTGTTGATGATGTCTTTGCTTTCATTTCGTGTGAAACTTTTTTTACTTACTTACCACAATCGCTATTTTGACTGTTGCAACTCCATCGACAACATTTTTGAGTGGCCTAACACGACCGCTGATACACCAGTGCTACCGTTGAGAGGTGCTACTACAGCAGTTACTGCTGCAACTTTAAAGGGCGAATGTCACAAAAAATCAGTCGCTGTGCAACAGGTCGATGTGTTCTATTGCGTCACTGCCGGAAGTCTTTTTGTAGCATTCCCACCACCACGACCACCACCACGGCCGCCACCGTTGCCACCACCATCACTACTACCACCACCATTATTTAATAATGTTATCACGCTGTTACTGTTGCTTCTTACGTAACACTCGTTATGTTGTTGTTTTTGTTGTGGTGGTGGTGGTGGTGGTGTGGTGGTGGTGGTGGTTGATTTTGTGTTGCTGCTTTTACTGTTATAAGTATTAATATGATGAAAAACGTATTATTAATTTGATATAACTGTGATAATTCATTGTCAGTTTACATTTTGTTACCGTTAGGTATAGAAACTTTAATATACAAACAAACTTGTATACTAGCGTATACATACACACACACAAACATACAAGCAAACAAACAAACAAACATACAAACAAACAAACAAACAAACAAATACAAAATAAACCTTCATCCAGCGCGCGCGCACACAAACGCTGATGGCATCAATTCGATATTAGAGACACACGTGTCCATCCAGCCCTCTTCCGGATTAGCCCTGTGACGTCATCTCACTCACTCATTATCATCGTCGTCGTCATCATCGTCCTCAATATTTCATCATCATCCTCTCATATATAGCTCATTTTTAACGTCTTGTAACGTAATTTTTTATGATCACCCTTGTTTATTATCATTATTATTAATATTCTTTTCATTTTTTATTATTTTTTCATCCATTATCATATTTTCATTATCATTGTTAAAACTACAATTCAGAATGTATTATTATTATTATTATTATTACAATCATCATCATCGTGTGAATCTTTTCATCATCATCATCATAATCTTTATCAATATATTTTTTCATCATCATCAATTGTTTTATTGTCGCCATCATCATCATCACCATCACATTTTTTTTGTTTTTGTTATCATCGTCATCACGTCTTTCTAATATCATCATCACCAACAACTTCAGTATTTTTCAATCATCATTCATTTTTCCGTCATCATCATCATCATCACACTCTCATCATCATCATCCTCATCATCATCATCATTACTAAAATCTTTCCACTATCATGATCGTCGTCATCATCTTCTCGTCGTCGTCATCACCATCAGAGTTGTTATCAATCGATTGAATATAGTTGGTCGTTGTGGCCTTCATCATCATGTGGCTTGTATGAATAATTAATCATTATTAACCTCATCATTTTCAGTCCCATCCACGTCATTATCATCATCACCAATTTTCTCATTTATCATCATCATCACCAACTTATCAACAACAACTTTTCTATTCATCATTATCATCATCACCACCAACAACAACTATCTTATTCATCATCATCCTCACCACCACAAACAACAACAACCTCACACTCGTCATACAAAATTTTTTTTTCTCCATCAATTTTTATCAATTTAATAATCATCATCAACGTTCACATCATCATCACCATCATCCACAACATCATCATCATCAAAATCCACATCATCGTCATCATCATCATCAAAATCCACATCATCGTCATCATCATCATCAACATCCACATCATCATCCTCATCATCTACATCACCATCTGCAGCAACATCCACATCATTTTCATCATCATCTACATCATCATCATCATCATCTACAACATCATCATCAGCAACATCCATATCATCATCATCAACAGCATCATCATCTACATCATCATCATCAACATCTACATCATCATCATCATCATCATCATCAACGTCCACATCATCATCAACATCCACATCATCATCATCAACATCCACATCATCGTCATGATTGTGATGAATTGCGACGACATAGCACTGTCACTCACTCCGTACCATTCATGTTGTGCTTGTTGCGTTCATTTCATTGTTTCAATTTACACTTTTTGTTCTTTGGAGATTAGATATTTCTATTTCTTTGTTTTATCTTCACCTTTTATTATTTTGTACCTTCTGCTATTTTGTATCTTTTGTTGTTTTTCATCTTTAGCTATTTGGTATCTTTTGTTGTTTGTATTTTTTGTTGTTTTTATCTTGTTGTTTTGTATCTTTC